GATTTGGGAGGTCCAGGCCGGCTCTGCCCACTTTTCCAGGACTCTGCCCAGGTTGGTGCCAGGCGTTTGTGGCTTTCCTCTTCCAGGGCGGCATTTACTGGTTCACCCTGATCGATGCCTACAGCACCAGCTTCGGCCTCATCATTGTGGCTCTCTTCATGTGCCTCGGAGTGGCCTTCTTCTACGGTGAGTCCGCGTGGGGTGAGCAAGCCGTGCCAGGCGGCCAATGGCTTCCCAGGGAGGGTCCCCTCCTGTGGGACTGTCTAGGAGTCTCTCTTCACCACTAACCAGCATACGTGGTTTGTTCATGTGCCAAGGACCTTTGGTCTCTGTCAGGTCAGGCTTCCCTTCCCTCAGTGTAAAAAGTGGAAGTAAGTAGTGAATAGGCTGGAATTCACCCCATCGAGCATTGCTGACATGTGGGGTCCTGGGTGCTCCCTGAGCTGGGAGAGTCTCTTGCAGACGTTTCACGACCAGACTAGGGAACATCATCAATGCTAGAAGGGAGGTGGGTTTGCAGAGAGGAGGAGGAGGAGAAGGAAGAGGAGGAGGATCATGGGGTCTATTGCCCTCTGTGAGAGGACCCAACTAGGGAACATTGTCAGTGCTAGAAGGAAGTGATGGAGGAGGAGGAGGAGGAGGAAGGACTGTGGGGTCCTTGATGCTCTCTGTGCTTGGCTGTTTCTTGCAGACGTTTCACGACCAGACTAGGGAACATCATCAATGCTAGAAGGGAGGTGGGTTTGCAGAGAGGAGGAGGAGGAGGAGAAGGATCATGGGGTCTATTGCCCTCTGTGAGAGGACCCGACTAGGGAACATCGTCAGTGCTAGAAGGAAGTGATGGAGGAGGAGGAGGAGGAGGAGGAGGCAGCCATTGGTGCTCTCTGAGCTAGGTTGCAGACATTTCATTATCCAGCTGGGTAACGTCAACAGTGTTGGGAAGGAGAGAGGTTTTCCCCCTCTCTCCTTTTTCACTAAAATGCAAAGCATCGGGCCTTGAAGGCAAGGCTTCCCAGCCATAGCATCTAATCTGTGGACTTCAACTCCCAGAATTCCCCAGCCAGTCATGAATGAAAGAGTTGGAGGAGACCAGAAGGATCGCCTAGTCCAGTATTTCTCGACCTTGACAACTTTAATATGTGTGGACTTCAACTCCCAGAATTCCTCAGCCAGCCATGCTTCCTCAGCCACCCATGCTGGCTGGGGAATTCTGGGAGTCGAAGTCCACGCGGCCTTAAAGTGCCGGGCTGTTTCCTAAATTAATCTGGACTGGGACAGCTTGGGTTCAGAAAAAAAACCAAAGATGGCAATTGCTTCCTCTTTCGCCCTGGATCAGAAAACCAGGCAGTGGCTGTGCGCAACATGCTGTCATCCGGCCGAGGGGCGGTGTGGGATGCGTGAAAGAAACCCGAAGCAAGGGGGGGCGGACTGGCAAGGGTGCTTCCCCACAGCCGTGCGCTACCCATTTCCTTTCCGGCAGGCGTGAACCAGTTTTGCCAAGACATTGTCGACATGATCCGGCTGTGCCCGCCCTGGTGCAGGCAGCTGGTGCCGTACTTCAAGGCCTGCTGGGTGATCTTCACGCCGGGCATGCTGACGGTAGGCCAGGCGTGGGCTTTGCGGTCTTCCTGCCCCCACAGCTCTTATGGGGAGAGTCTGGGCAGCAGTGGGGTGTCCTCCCACCCCTTTGCCATCCTTGTCCTCTCTGCTCCCTTCACAGTTCATTCTCCTCTACATCTTCATGGACCTGTCAGGCACCACACTGCACTACGGAGCATACCGGTTCCCGCGCTGGGGCCAGGCGCTGGGTGTCTGCATGGGGGTGCTGAGCTGCATTCAGATTCCGCTTTGGGCTGGCATTGCCCTCTGCAAGGAGTCCGGGACACTGGTTGCTGTGAGTCGGGGAGAGCACCCAGTGGGTCGCGGGATGGGGCCAGCTTCCGGGAAGCGGACACACTGTCCGGGCTGTGTGGAGAGCCCACGCCCTCTCGCCTCTCCCGAAATCCCCTGGTGCACATCCACTTGGGACTTTTCCTGGCGATCCCCTCGATAGCGGAGGTGGGCAGTTGGGCATCTGGCCCAGCGAGCAAGTCTCCTGTCCTGTCGTTGCAGCGGTTCAGGAAAGCCATCCGACCTCTGAACTCCTGGCGTTCTGCAAGTGGCCGTGAGCTGTCCCACCAGGTCATCGACGTTCCCTACACTGTGAACTTGACGGACAGCGACTTCACGGGCAGTTGGCAACTGCCAGATCGCAGCGAGGCCTGATTCTGTGGGGCCCACGGAGGAGGCATCTGTGCCGGTCCACTTACGACCTGGACCTGACCAGCCACCTTTTCCATCCTTTGGAGGGGCCTGCAGTCAGAGCAACGCTGCGGAAGTGATGCTGCTGCTGCTGGCCGGGAGGGCCGGCCTTGAGGATGCTGGGGCCCCCATGTCCGCCCCCCACAAGAGAAGCCTGGGGGCTGGGACAGGGTGGTTGCTGTGCTGCTCCATGAGGCAGTGATTCTCGGCTGCGGCAGCCTCCCGGGGTGGGCCTGCCCTGTCTCCGAAATCAAAGAGGCCCCTGGTGCTTTGTGCCCTGTGGAAGTCCTCCTCCCCTGCCCAGAGTATGGGAAGTCCTCAACTTACGACTATGATCGAGCCCCAAATGCCGGTTGCTAGGCAAGACAGTTGTTAAAGTGAGCCTTGCCCCATTTTACAACCTTTCTTGCCACAGTTGCTAAGTGAATCACTGCAGTTGTTAAGTTAGGAACACGGTTGACAAGTGGATCTAGATTCCCCCCATGGACTTTGCCGGTCGGAAGGTCGCAAAAGGGGATCACACCGCAACCGTCCTAAGTACATGCCAGTTGCCAAGTGTCCGAATTTTCATCACGTGACCACAGGGACACAGCAACTGTCCTAAGTGGGAAAAACGGACGCGAGTCACTTTTTTCAGTGCTGCTCGGTTATTTACAAATGGTCGTAAGTCGAGGACTTCCTGTACGCCCTCCACTTGGCGCCTCACTTTGGAATCAGCTCACGGCAGCCTCCTTTCCACCCCGGCAGGAGGTTCCCAGCGCCGCCCTGGGCTGGCTCAGCCTCCCGCACTGCCTCTTGTGCTGCAGCCCCAGACAAAGCGGCAACATCTGCCTGCTGGCCACAGCTGGGTGACAGAAAGACCAGGGACAGGAATGGACATGGGCAACGGACCCTTTGGGCAGAGACCCCTGGATGGACAAAGCCACACACACATCGTTTTTCTAGAGAGTCTTCTTACAGGTGCTCCCGGCACCCACTGAGGCTGCACAGGAAGACACTACACAATCTTGCCAAGCGTGTCCTCCCTCCTCCCCACACATGGGGTGCTTTCCAAAGAATCGCCCTCTGTAAAGGGCGGTGGGGAGAACCACAAACTCGAGCATTTTTAGAGACCCTTCTGGAAACCAGACAAATAAACCTGTTGTGCCTACGTGGGAAGGACAAGGAGCCGTTGCGTGTGCTGCATGTTGTGTCCCCAGGCTGGTGTCCCTGTCGGGGAATCTGGGCTCTTTGGCACGGGACCTTCTGGCCAGTGGCGGAGAGTTCCGCCGGCCAAGAAGGCAGGATTGTTGCCTAGGAAAACACCCCCAGGCCCTTAAGAGGAAAGAAAGGCCATCTCTTGGTTGGGCCCGGGAGGGGGGGGCAACAGTGCTTCTGGCCGCCCCCGCAGCCATCCCAGAAGGACACCACACGGTCGAACTTATTAAAATAGTCTACATGCTTTATTAGATTCAAAACAGTTTTACGAAAAGCAGCTGGCTGGCCCAAAGAGCTGCCCCCCTGCAGCCGCCTTGCTGGCCGGACGGCCGCCTTCCTCCTTGCCCTGAGACCCAGCGCGAGGGGCTCCCGCACGGCCACTCTGGCTGGTCCAGGAGGCAGCCAGGAGCCCGAAGCGTCGCCATCCTCTACCCGGCTGCACCGACCAGCCACGACGGCCGCAAAGCTTTGGTTCTGCGCCAGAGGGGCGGCTGCGGTCCAGGGGCGCCTGTCGAGGTGACCCTGCTCCAGCCGCCCGGAGGAGAGCGGCGGGCAGAAGGGGGGCAGCGGGTGCAAGCCATGCGCAGCCAAGCAGGGCACTCTGGCCCCAGGAGGCCCCCCCAGCAAAGAGCGTCTCTCTGTCACCACGGGGCGAATCTGGTTCGGTGGAGGACAGCACAGGGCGGCTTGCCCGGTCCTTCCCCGTCCGCCAGCTACTTCCGGGGCTTCTTGAAGATCTTAAGCGGGAACTTCTTCTTCCCGGGGCCTGAGTCGGTCTCCTCGCCGGTGGAGCCACTGTCCTCCTCACCTGCCGCGCCCGTCTTCTTGGCCGCCAGGTGTGGGATGCGGCTGTTCGCCTTGCCGGACAGGAGGGAGAGTGTGGTGCGGCCGTTGGCGGGCGGCGAGGGGGTGTCGGGCTCGGTGGAACTGGGGCTGTGTGACCGAGAGGAGTCCCTCGAACGGGCCCCCACCGGGCCCAGCTCCCCCAGGCTGGCCGCCTTCTCCAGCCCACCGTGGTGGTTGAGCACCGGCACCTTCTTCATCGTCAGCGGGCTCTCCGACTCGCCGGACTCCGTTTGGTACTGCTGTTCCTCGGCCGACTTGTTCAGCAGGCCGGGACGCAACTTGGGCATGGAAATGGCCGCCCGTGGGTGGTCACTCAGGTGCGGGATGGAGGAGTCCGAATCCGAGTGGACCAGGTCCCTAGAGGGAGGGGGCAGATGAGAAGAGGTAAGTCTGTGGGTCTGGAAGGACCCCAACCCACGCCCTCGCATGCGGTGGCACCTGGAAGCGGCTGCCTTCCAACGCCCCCCCTCCCCAGTTCCTTCCTAGTGTGAGCGCTGGACTGCCTCTGGGTCTGCAAGCAGCTTCCCCCATGGCACCCTCAAAGACCCCCCCCCGTAGGCTGATGCGC